GAGAATCTGACTTAGGTAGAAATCCTTAGTACCAACACCTTTGTGAGATTGAAAGGCTAGCTCTAGGACATTGATAACAATGTGTATGTAATTTAACATTGGTTTTACCTTGTATATTATGTCTATTTAATGATGGATTGTACATATTCTTGTGAATTGGACTTGTAATTGTAGTTTATATAATACTCTTGTGCTTGTAGTTTATATAATACTCTTGAGCGAATGTGGTTCGGAACATTGGTCGCGGGGCGTTCGGCGGGATTATCTCGCTTTCCTCGCTCATGTTGGTCGCGGGGCATTCGGCAACGTGAATCGCTGGATGGAATACGCGGAAACAAACAATGTTCTGGTCGAATTTGAATTGTAAATTTAAATTTTTTTTACAGGAAAACGTACTGTAGGGGCGGTTCTAGACTGAACCGCCCCTACAAATAGGTATTATAGGGGCGGCTAGTAATACGAGCTGCCCCTACAAATATGTAGTACCAGCCGCCCCTACAAATGCATGATTTGTAGAGACGGTTTGGTAGGGGTGGCTGGCCAAACCGCCCCTACAAAGGGTTATAAGCCCGCCCTAAAAAAATGTTTCTGTAGTAATGGATATCCCTTGCAAAAAAAGGTCAGGAGACGCTGCTACAGCCAGATCCAAATTGAAAAGGATTAGGCCCTGTTTGAATGCAAAGTATTTTTTAAGTATTGGAGGAATACTATGTTTTACAAAATACTTTGGTTTTTAAAAGTTACTATGTGTTTAGATGCAATAAATCTTGTAGTCTTCAAAACCATGGTTTTGTCAAAGCTGTGGTCTTTTTGGAATTTTAAAAACTCCACTCATAACCTCTTTTTTCTAAACTATGGTTTTGTGTCTCTTTAGCTTATAAAACCACAATTTATGATACTATATATAGTTTTTCAAAAACCGCAACATCCAAACAGGCCTTTAATGTTAAATTCTTGCACAAATTTACTCGTTAATTTTAACTGCACCAAGTCAAATATTTTATCTATCCAAATTTTTAGATCCCGTTTGAATCTTATTCTCAATGAGAATCTCGATTCTAAATAGTAAATGTAAAATCTGGATTTCTAGATAGAAAATATAGAATCTAAAATTTTTAGATTAAAAATGAGAAGTATATGGATCTCATTCTTACCGTGATTTTATGGCTTTTGGATAGATAGTTTGTTTCTACAATGTTTGGATCCCATTCTCATCTTTTTCACCCCCTATTCTTATTTTTCTCATGAGATTAAACATGATCTTACTTAGCCGTCACGTAGGTAAAGATTAGTAGTTAACTAGGTAGCATGCCCGTGCGTTGCTATGAGACAACAAAGCTTTTGTAATAAAAACACACGGATCGCACGATAAGATAACAATATTGTGAAATTAAATAACGATGTTAAAATGACATTTAATCAAAAAACAAAGTTTGTAAAATTAACAGTCACAGAGAGCGCGATGTCGTAGGCTCACCAACTCTACTGTACAGACCTTTTCATGCGTTGCAACGGGAACAAATGATGCCCTAATAATTTGTACATGAATATGTTATATTGTTAAAAAATGATAATGCGAGCGTGATGTTCGGAATGTCAATATTACAAATTAAATTTTATGCATGGCTAAAATTATCATTGATGGTTTGCAATCATCAAGGCATGTATTTATATTATTGTATATTTGTGCATATGCACATAAAAGTTCATATCACCGTAACAAGATTAATTTATTCCTCAACTTTTTAGAACTAACCCTCTCTTTGAATTATCAGTTTGCTTCATACAGACTGGTATACCAATGCCACCCTTCTTCATATTTTAGATCTTGGATCTGCAACATCTTGAGCGTGGGGTACAGAACCAGGACAAAAGGCACACCGGCTGCACATCTGAACAGTTATATGAAACTACATGAAACTCAATAAGGCAAACTTTCAGCCTAAAACCAAATTAAGTTGCACGTGCATGGAAATAAAAAGACTAAGGTAATCCAAGTTTGCAGTGCGTAGTACCTTGACAAAAAAACAATGTTTTGATTTATTCTTCACATCAGGTTGTTTGCACCCAATCATCCCCTTGAATAATAATAATTAAAGCAACGAACTTCAGACTATAATAATCGTGTTCACTGTGCTCTCTATTCTACCACGTTCTCTAGATGATGCATTTAAGATCGTCTTTTATGACCATAGGAATTAAGTCTCCAGGAATTCCTCTCATATCCAACTACAATAATCTAAATTCGCATAAGTGAAACCAATAGATTTTCACTTTTATTTTCCAAAATGCTGGGAAGTATCCAATCTATACGGCCATAGGAATTAAAAATCTACAGGAACTCCTCTCGTATGTATCCAGCTACAACAATCTAAATTCGCATCCGTGAATAAACCAATAGATTTTCTGACTTTTATTTTTCTAGAACTGGGAAGTAACCAATCTGAACTTCCATTAGACCCTACACTACACAAACCCTGGAGGAACCTACAGTGTAACCAGCACAAACCCATAGGGGAAAATAATCACGACAAAAACCACAAATATAACTCTGCACAAAGTCTCGCTGTTTATTATCATTGGACTTTCATGTATTTTTTATACAAACAAGATCAAAACCAGTAAATCATTAGGCACATATCAGAAACTCAAAAGTAAAAAAGAATCATGCCAATTATCCACCAGTCACATAATTTACCTGCAAATGGAGTGCCAATATCTGTAGGACTACAACAAACACCTTGATGGCACGCGACAGCCTTGATGTGCCTATCAGAGGTGTATTAAACTGTGGTTAACAATTAAAACAAAATGGCAAGCCATGCACGGGTTAGATCTATCGCGTTCATAATATACATGGACTATTTGTGATGGTACAAGAAAGGTAGTGAAAACATCATCACTGTGAAACCCAAGTTTCAAAAGTCAGAAATCTAGGTAATGATGACAGTGACATTTCATATTAGGTAACTGGAGAGATTGTGGAGCAACTGAATAACTGACAGATTTTATAAAGCAGATAAATATGAAGTTTATGAATTCACATATTAATTGAACTGGATTAGTTTCTGAATGAAAGGGATGATTTAAGTAAATAGGGGATGATTCAGTCTACAAATAATCAACAAAAAGTTCACTGAGATTGCCCTCTATGTGGACTTCCCAAATCTAATGATACTACCTTGTGCAATCTATAGGTTCTTGGCTTGCGAAGCTGTAGATTTAAAGAGTAACCAAGACGCATGAACACATTTATTAGACAACGACAGTTACATGCAGATGCAGATAAAATTGCTCCAATTAATTCGTAGCATTGGAGGTCTAACAAAGCTCCATAACACATGAATTTCGTGTTGAAGCAGAGAGGACGATCCACAGAATAGACATGTGGTACATTCAAGGTTCCCTCGTACCTTAGATCTTGAGAATGTTAAAGATAAAAAAAGAGTCGGGTCATGTTTCCTCGCTTCATAAAATTCTGAGTCTTTAAGTATTAAGCGCTGGCAAAAGCTCACTGAGATTTTACTTATATACAAACACTAAAATGGTTTGAAAAATAATAATTTCCCATACGAATCGATCATTTGAAAACGGCAATGGGGCTGACCCAATAAAGAACATGGTAGACATGTGAAAGAACAAAAAAAAATCCTATACATTCATTTAAAAAAGTCACTCCTGTTATTAACATTCATTCTTTGGAGAGGCGGACCGGTAAAGGTAAAGAACATGGGTTTACACATGTACTCCTGTTATTAATGCAAAAGCATCTAAGTTGGTAGGCATACCTGTTGGTTGCTCATCTCCGACGAATCTGTGGACAGGCGAAGCAGTGTGGTCGCCCAGTCATGTGCTTGGATGAGTAAAAGCCGTGGATCTGGGATGGGCGAGGCGGCGGCACGACGTTGCAGCGGGAGAGGGCAGCACGCCTACTCAGCGGACCTTCTCCTTCTCGGCACGGCCTTGCGGTGTCAACATGGCTTCACAACAGGGAGGGAGAACAGGCGCGGCGTGGGCAAAACGGAGTGAGGATGACGGCGAGGTCGATGGTGTAGGCGTGAACGGCGAGGTCGATGGCGCATGCCGGTGCCGGTGCAGGCGTGGAGGATGATGGTGCGGCGGCGCGAGGGTAGGGAGAGAGAGAGGAGGCGTCGGCGTGGTGAGCGCGGGGATGGAGCAAAGGCGTGAGGGCCGGTGTGGGAGAGGAGGCTGATGCGGGATCTCGTGCGAGGGGGAGGGGAGTGATTGGCGCCATGTCCACCACGTGCGGGCGGGAGCGAGCGAAGCCGGGTGAGCGATTCCCACGCGGAGATCGTACCGCGCGGGGGAGGGAGGAGCGCATGATCTACCACGGGGGAAGGAAGGAAGGAGCGCGGGTCGGGTGCGTCATTGACGGAGCATGTCGGGTGCGAAGGAGGGAGGAGCGAGGTTTCTTTCCTTATTTTGGCCCAAGGGAGGGGCGTAGTAGCGAGGGGGGTGCGGGATCGCAGTGGGCAGGACGATGGAACCACATTAAAATGTCACACCAAAAAGTGTTCACGCTTTGTTGTTTTTAGTTGTAGGTGATAATTTGAAAGGGTATAATTTTGTGTTGTTTTTCGGTTAAGCCCGCTCCTTAGCACGAAAACAAATGTAGAAAAGGTATATACCCATTTTTTAAAAGGGTTAATTCGAACGCTGCCATCATAATTCTTCGAGTTTGGAAATATACCATTGCTATTCATGATATTGTAACTATGCCATTACAATTCCTATGAAACGTGATTCATGCCATTAAGTACCCTTTGAGGCGTTCGTATACGACAACATTTTTCGTATGGCATGTATTGCCCCTGCCTCATCCGACTTACATGTTCTATATCGAGTCAAGCCACCCCGAAACACGCACATGTCCAGTCGCCGCGGCACCGCCGCGCGTCTCATTGCCTGTGGCGTCCGCTCCTTGGTCGGCACCGTACCTAGCAGCAAGAAGCTACACAGAGAGGCTGTTCAAGTGGCACATGAAGAAGATATTTGATGTTGCACCAAATGCCATAGAATTCCTGGAGCAGCATCACAATAGATGTGGGTTTTCAGATAAGAGTAAATGTGACTACTTGACTAACAATGTATCTAAGAGCTTTAATGCTCAGATCAGGCACATGAAAGGACTACTACTACACGAATTGGTTGATGGCCTGAGAGAGCTCATCATGGAGAAGAGGTTTTTGAGGATGAAGATTGCTAGGAAAATGCGTGATGGTATACTCCCTAGTGTAATGAAGGAGTTGAATGCTATCAGCAATAATTTCAAAGTGGTTAAGGTATCAAGTAGTGATGAAGACATGGCCGAAGTGACACTTCTAGACAACTAGAACAATTAGAGGAGACACATAGTTGATCTCCAACATCATTCATGTTCATGCAGAGAGTGGCAGCTCACAGGCAAGCCCTGCAAGCATGCATTAGCTTGGATATTGTCCAATAGGGGAATGAAAATAGAAGACTATGTGCATGAATATTATTTTGTAGCAAGATTTAGGGCTGCTTATGAAGAAAGAGTAGAGCCTTTTCCAGACAGAACACAGTGGCCTGTGGTGGATCTTGGGTTCACAATATTTCCACCCTTGCTAGGAAGACCACCAGGCAGATCAAGAGTACGAAGAATTAGGGGCTGCCTTGAAGGGAAAGCGAACAAGAAAAAGATAAAGTGCAAAAGGTGTGGTGACTTCGGCCACTTTTGCCAAGACTTGCAAATTTGATGAGGTCTACTCCGATGAAGAAATTAGGGGCAGATCACAGAACAAGAGGTTAGTGACTCATTCTCAAAGCATTTCTTGTGTATTCTGTACTGAACCTAGTGCTAACCACTATACTAGGTAGGAAACGACAAGAAGATGACACTACTGGGCCGTCAGAGGTGAAGAAGAAGGCAGCACAAAAGAAGAAAAAGAGCCCCAAAAGAAAGAAGAAGAAGACTCCAGTGAAAAAAAGCAATAGAAGGCTGCCGCCGCACCACAGCCTAGAGTTGTCAGGAACTTGTCACAATTCCTTAATACCCAACTCACTGCTCAAGTCGCTGATTCCTAAATCTTAATGTCGAGTGTTTTTTTATGGTTGCTGTGTGTAATCAGGTTGTGATTGTGAACCTGTAATCATGCCATTCTTTTGAACTAGAAATCAGGCCATGCTTTTGAATTTTATTAATCAGGCCGTGCTTTGTTTAGTTAAAGTCCTGTGAACTTGTACTGTATTCAGTTAAAGTCATGTGAACTTGTAGTCAGTTAAAGTCCAGGTTCTAGTCTGTCAACTTGTTATCAACTTATCTGTGACCTTTTATATGTCATATGCTTTGTTCAATGTGTTCAAATTGTTATCAAATTATCAGAAGTTTTTAACTTGGTATCAAATTATATGTGACCTTTTTATGGTATATGCTTTATTCAGACGGGTCAGCTGGGCAATTCAATGCAACAGATGGGTCAACTAGGTGCGGTCTTGAGCCAAGGAAGCGGAGCGGACGAGCAATGCGACGCGTGGCGGTCTTCAGCTTGACTGAGACGAGTGTTGCGCGTTCGGGCGGCTTGACTTGGTCTAGAACGTGTAAGTCGGATGAGGCAGGGGCAATACGGGCCATACGAAAAATGTTGCCGTATATGAACGCCTGAAAGGGTACTTAATGGCATGAATCACGTGAAGTTTCACAGGAATTGTAATGGCATATTTACAATATCACGAATAACAATGGTATATTTCCAAACTCGAAGAATTACGATGGCAGCGTTTGAATTAACCCTTTTAAAAAGTATATGCCCATTTAAATTACAAAATAGTACAAGGAGCGTGATCAAAAAAGGGTGTCCATCCAGGCCCCACGCGGCCACGCATCCGGCTCATCTTGTGATCAATCCAGTGCGTCCAATCCTTGCCATCCGAACCCCCGCCGACGCAACCCTAGATTGCGCCTTCCTCTCTGTCCCCTCCTCCGCTGCGCCGCCATCATATAAGTCCGCCGCCCTCTCCCTCCGTAAACCCCTCTCTCTTCCTCCCGCGGCCTACTCCTGCGATCTGTCCAGCAGATCTAAGGTTCCGATCGGCCGTGAACCAGCGGCAACCGTCGGCATGGCGCTTGTGAGTTCCTTCTCCTTTCTCTCTTTCTCGCTTTCTCTCTTTTTATCGCTCTTTCAGAAGTGCTGTGTAGCTCATCGCTTGTCAGACTGTCTGTGAGGAAGTTTTGGTATGCTCGGCAGTTTGGTTTATAGGGTTTTGTGGTTCCTTCCGTGTAGTTTAACTTGATCTGATTGGTGATGCGCGCTGCTAAGCTGTGGTTTCTGTTGGATGCGATTTTCGCGAGTTATGGCCTCATAGGTATGGGAACTGTAGTCTCTAGATGTGATCGGAGCGCGTTAAGTTGTTTAGATCAGCAGCTTTGCTTTGGGCAGGCCTTTATGTTGGGTAACTTTGGACTGCTGGTTCGTTCCAATATCAACATCACCCAAACTTTGGCCTTTGGAAATAGATCGCCTGTTGTTATCCCTTGTTCACACCCGTCGGTTCATACTGAGTTTGATTGAACTTAGTAGTCTGATCACAGTGCATGTGATGTCACTTAGAGTTCCTGGCTTACTAGTAGAATGGCACTGGAAAAGACCTTGAACCTTTGATACCCTGGTGACCATGTAGTTTTTACAAGGGAATTGCTCTATGGTCAATGGCATTTACCTCGTGTATTTGAGCCATTGGATTCATTTAGGTGCTATCATCTCAAGTGATTTTAACCATCATCTCAAGCCCTTTTAAGTTTTTAACCTTCTGATACTAAGTTGTACTTGATTTGTAAGTTGAAGAAAATGTTTGTACATGGAGCAATGCTCTTTTGGTGTCTGAAAGGAAGATGAGGAATTGAAGTTGGGAGGTCGAGCATGACTATGTTATAGTTTGTTTTTATAAGCTAGCAATTTAGGCAATTCAATTGTAGTAATGTTTTGGCTACACAATGGTACTGTTTGTGTTATTAAAGCATCTTTATTGGAATCTGTGTGAAAATGTTCATTTGTGCCTTGTTGGGAAACAGACATGTCATCAGCTACTTCATATTGTGATTTGTGAATGCTCAGTCTGGGATGTTGCTGCATTTGCTTGTGTATTTTTTCCCCCTAAATAGTGAAATACATGTGTTCCGCAGATTATGTTTATGTTCTGGTTCTATCACTTAGGCAATGGTGTAGATGTCATTGCCTGCTTGCATGTGTACTATTAAATTACCATGCACAAACAGAAAGGTGTTTCAATTTGTAATACAATATGTCTAATTTTTTTATTGCATAGGTATTGCATACTGGGGCTGGAAACAAGAATGCCTTCAAGGCACTTATTGCTGCAGAATACAGTGGGGTCAAGGTTGAGGTGACCAAGAATTTTGAGATGGGTGTATCCAACAAGACCCCTGAGTTTCTTAAGATGAACCCCCTTGGGAAGGTACACCATGCACCAATCATTATCTTTGAATTGTTATGTATAGTGGTTCATGAACTAAAGATTACTCTTCAGGTTCCTGTTCTGGAGACTCCTGATGGCCCTGTTTTTGAGAGTAATGCTATTGCACGCTATGGTATATATAGAACCCCACACTTTTTCAACTTAATTTTTTCTTAACTTTTTGCCGCTGATGACCATGTCTCTGTTTTCCTTTCAGTTGCTCGTTTGAAGGACGACAACCCTCTTCTTGGGTCTTCCCGTATTGAACAAGTGAGTGATTTATAGTGTTAACATAGTTAACTGAGTTTTACTGCTTGTGGACCTCACCAATGGTTCTTGCAGGCCCACGTTGAGCAATGGGTGGACTTTGCTGCAACAGAAGTTGACCCTGGTGTTGCATGGTACTTGTATCCAAGGCTTGGGTACATCCCTTATGCTCACACAGTAAGTTGTGGGCAGGGAAACTTGGTTCTTGTATTATTGAACATTTACTAGCTATAGTATTAACCCTTTTTTGTGTGTGTGCAGACTGAGGAAACAGCTATTGCTTCATTGAAGAGATCGCTTGGTGCTCTGAACACACACCTTGCCTCAAACACATACCTTGTTGGGCATTCTATTACTCTAGCTGACATTGTATTGACATGCAACCTGTACCATGGAATTGCACGGATCTTGACCAAGAGCTTCACTTCTGATTTTCCTCATGTCGAGAGGTATTTCTGGACCATGGTTAACCAGCCTAACTTCAAGAAGGTCATTGGTGAGGTCAAGCAGGCAGAGTCTGTACCTCCTGTTCAGAAAAAGGCCGCTCCTCCTAAGGAGCCGAAGGCAAAGGATGCCAAGAAAGAAGCCCCAAAGGAGGCCCCCAAGCCAAAGGTGGTTGAGGCACCAGCAGAAGAGGAAGCACCAAAGCCAAAGCCAAAGAATCCTCTTGACTCGCTGCCACCAAGCAAGATGGTCCTTGATGACTGGAAGAGGCTATACTCAAACACAAAGACCAACTTCCGGGAGGTTGCCATCAAAGGTGTCATTTCCATGTTTTCAATAATATGGTCAATATGTTTGCTTCTTTCCTAACAATTTTTAACTGCGAGTGGCTGGTGTTAGAATTCTGTACTTTGCAATCTATCAATCTTACAGGAAAACAAATTTGGAGTCACCTTCCTGACTAGAATTTGATTTTGGCCTTATAAGAATAATATTTTTAGACACCTGAAGGATTATGCACCCTATAGCTGAGTCAATCACAGATAGCCGCAAAGAGTTTATGTCGACGTGAACTAACAAAGTGCTAATAGTAGTTATGTCTGCTTTAATAAGCAGTTACTTCGTCATCCATTTGCCACAGCTATTTACTACTACCTCCATTTTGCTAGGACAAGCATTTGATCAACAGTTTATTAATACATAGTTTGTGACAAAATCATGCGATTAGATTCATATTAAAAAATATATGTAGTTATGGTTATAATTTTGTATAACAAAAATGAAGTATTACTGCGGTATTTTCCTGTCAAAAGCCTCGTGCTATTGAAACAAAATACTGGAAAGAAAAACAGAGGGAGTACTGAAAGTAAATTAATTACATGAATGGCTTGGATTTCCTTTTCCATGTTTGTGCAGTCTTGACCAATAATCCGTCTGTGTTTCAGGTTTCTGGGACATGTACGACCCAGAGGGCTACTCTCTGTGGTTCTGTGACTACAAGTACAATGATGAGAACACCGTCTCCTTTGTGACCCTGAACAAGGTTGGTGGATTCCTGCAGCGGATGGACCTGGCCCGCAAATACGCCTTTGGTAAGATGCTCGTGATAGGCTCTGAGCCACCCTTCAAGTTGAAGGGCCTTTGGCTCTTCCGTGGTCAGGAGGTTCCCAAGTTTGTAATGGACGAGGTCTATGACATGGAGCTCTACGAGTGGACCAAGGTGGACATCTCTGATGAGGCCCAGAAGGAGCGTGTCAATGCCATGATTGAGGACCAGGAGCCCTTTGAGGGCGAGGCCTTGCTTGACGCGAAATGCTTCAAGTGAGTGTGCTTGCCTGGAGCCAGAACTGTTTAGACCTTGAATTGGATATTTATGGAAGGGTTTGCCCTTTTACTTGTCTATGTTGATCTGGTATACCTTGCTATGAACTGGTTGAAGTTTGTGCTGAATGTTTCTCCGTAACAATCTGGTCATGTTTTTTTGCTTATGTCTGAGATGTTGTGATTATGTTTTTTTTAAAAGGCATGCAAGAACTTACAAGACGGCAGAGCCATTTAGGAAAGCCTTCTAGGACTATATCCTTTCATCTCAATTCACGTGTGGAGGTGAATTGGAGTGGAATTAAAGTAAATTCTATTCCAATCCACTTTAACATATGTGGATTGAAATGAATACACGTGCTTCTAAACAAGGCTTAGCAGAGTTTTGATCCGAGTGGTAGTTGGTGCTATTTGTGCAAAGGTTTTAGCAGATGCAAATGGTATTATTCTCGTTTTAACCTCCCAGGAAGGTGAGTTCACAACATAGTTTGCGATAAGTTGGGACATCTCCAGTGACGGACCTGGTGAAAGTGCGATGAGCCACGGCATAAAGCATCTGCAAACAGCACAAATTTTGCCGGTGACACATTGAAACAGCGCCAGTTTTACTCAATACTAATAACATCAGAAGGCGAAATTGCCTTTACCGCAACATAGATATAGTGTACAGTGGTGGGGAACAACATTACATATTCAACAGGAAGGGGCAAACCAAAAGAACAAAAGGTGAATTCCCAAGTCGTCACCCTGTGTATGGTTCTTGTATGGGTTCTAACTTCTAATGAGCTATCAAACAGTTTCACACCAATCTCACATCCCTGCAAGTAGCTTAACATATTCTTGTTCGTAATGAATGATACTTGTCCATTTTATGTTGATCCGAATTCTTTAACTCTTGCGATGACAGCCTCATGGTCAGCAATTTTTGTATTGTAAGTTGAGGAACACATAACAGCTTTGAGTATGATCAACTGTAAAGAAAAGATAAACTTGTTAACAAACACTTAATACCAAAGGGCAAAATCTAATAGTCAGGTTAGTTTGGTAAAGATAACGAGGATGAGAGTGAGGGAGGATACCATGTGTCAGTTTTTAACCAAAAGTTCAGAAGTCATATTTTGTCCGGCCACTTCTCAAGATTAGGCATAGCATATCAGACAGCTTAGAGGTTGAGTTGTAGAAATTCCATGCCTCAAGCATCAAACGCTTTCTTGAACCTTTGAAATGGACAACCTGAAAACGGTACAAGAATTATTCTGGATGTCACAGTAAATAGAAAGCATATACAACAATGTTACACAACATGCACATTTGGATTAGTATAATCCTGTAAGAGCCATGTCCAAAGGAGACCTCCAGAGGTACCAGTGCATTGTGGAGTCCTAAATCAAGCTAATAATATGAGGAGAGGTAGAGGAAGACCGAAATTGACATGGGGGGAGGCAATAAAAAGATATTTGAAAGCTTGGGATATACCTAGAGATCTATGTTTGAATAGGAATACTTGGAAAGCAGCTATTGAAGTGCCTGAACCGTGACTTGAGGCTTTTGGTGGGTTTCAACTCTAGCCTACCATAACTTGCTTGGGACTGAAAGGCTATGTTGTTGTTGTTGTTGTAGTAGTAGTAGTATAATCCTGTAAGAATGACCCATATTTGCATGCTGACGAAATGGTCATCAATCGGAGCATATAGCTTATAACAAAAGAAAACATCATGAATCCACAATGCACAGTATTATCACAGTACCAAGAAATTTATTTATTTGAATTATAAATACCATATATGCGAGAAAAAGAAACGGTGAAGCAATCTTCGTAGTTTTCACATCTATATTAGCATCATGTATTCATGTGTAAGGAGCCTGCAGAATACTATTTTCTATTAATGTTAGGCCAAAATTTATTTCCATGAAGAAAAAGAGGAAAACTTTGACCAATTAAGTTCCTTACAAGTAAGAAAAGTGTTATACCTTAACATCCAAGGGTATACCATGAAACTGTCCAGCACCCTCAGGTGGGGTCCAATTATAAACAGCACAAGGCAAGAAGAGAACATATGCTCCATTAACTTCACCAGTAAATGCTTCATGCTTAGAAAATTTTCCAAAAGCTGATGGTAGATGAGACTTGACAACCCACACCAGTGCTAACTGGTCACCAAGCATACGGGAAGCCTTGATATATCTTAAGCTGTAAGCTTCAAGGACTTGTTTCAAGAATTCCACAGCTCTGAAAAAAGAGAGAGTTTAATTTGAAGTTTGCCGGCTTTCTACAATACGATCTATTCAATAGCTGTCAACTTACTTAGTGATGCCATCCCTGGTTCCTCTTACGGCAACAAACCCAGAGTTCAAAGGTTGCCCTTTGTTATTACGAAAAGTAAGAGCCAGATGACAATGGGGATATTTTTTGAATATATGTCCAAGATCATCAACCACTGCTATATCGGAATCAGTTAAAACAAAATGATTCAACCCCTCCACCCTATCAAATTCCACAAGTTTTTGCTCCAGAAATGCCTGAATATGAGGATAAGATACATAAATATAATTTTTTCAGTTGAAAATAATGCATAAAGATGATGATAGCAGTAATACATGGATCACATTAGAAGTAATTTTGAGAAAGCATATGCAGAAAATTTAACGATCTAAATGAAGCCGATAGACTTACAATGTATGTCTTTATTCTTTGAAGCATCAAATTTCCTCGAGAATAGTTTCCTTCAATAGGCAATAGTGTAGCACTCCCTTGATTTACTGAAATTTTTGAACCAGGATCAGTCAATATGATCACGTTGCTTCTTGGCATTGATACCTGCAGGGTTCTACAGATAGGATCAGGTGTTAAACAACTCACATCACAATCGTTGTTGGGAATAATGTAGCACACTGTGTATTTTCAGCTTCAAATAAGATGAAAAAGGGATATTTGCTATGGGCATAGGTAACAAGATCATGAACTCATACGCCATTTCTAGAAAGGGTTATGATAGTGATGTTAGTATTCACATTCATTACATTACTTCATGTTTTCCTACCACACAAAAAGGATAACAATCTCAACAATAGGGAGAAAGTACCAATTCTTTGGTAACTCTTAAACAGGACTGTTTGATAGCAATCACTCACAACATGCAATAATGCAAGACTTGGAACATCTTAGTTGAAATGCTGGATATGGTATCATAAACATAGGGATGGAACTAGAAATTCAACTGTAATTCAAATATATGGGGTGTCCTGCAATCTATCATTCACAAGAGAGAGAAAATTATTTGAGCCATCAAAATGCTAGTGTTAAACTTGCCACCAGTAAACAAAATTCACACAAACTTAGAGAAAAGGAAGAGGTACCTTTATGAAACTGATGAAAGTGTTCAGAATGGCCATGGATCTCTCTATTTTGCTATAAGAATGGTTTCCAACAGTTACATAATCAGATGGAACATTGCCATCTCCAGCTGAGACAGAATTGTAGGTTGTGAATACAGTAACAAAAGAAATGGGTTCTCCAGAATAGTTCTCTTCACTTGATTGGCCAATCTTGTTCAGAGCTATAAGTCCTGAGCAAGTGACAGAAACATCATCAGTCATATGAACTCAATCACCAGGTTATGTTGTGCCAACAGCAAGGAGGTACTGATTTGAGAAAGACAGAATGCAATCTACCATTATTAAGTTAAGATTACAGAACATCATCGACAACTAAAGCAAATTAACAACTGTTTAAGATCTATGTGGAACATCATTACATCAAGATTCTAGATTTATCTGAAACATGCTGTTCAAAGCAATGCATTAGAGAAATTATTTTACTGCTCCTGATGAACTGATTTTGCAAAAAGTAACATTCTTATCCTGATTTTGCCTCATGCTTGTCACAGAAAAACAAAGGCTTCCAGTTTGTTAGGCTGTAAATCCAGCTCAGCAAAATCTAATATTACAGTGGCAGAGCAAAAATGCAGAATGAGCATATAATCGTATCCCCATCATTTTTTTTCCTCAAAAAGATAAATATTACCGTGTGATGGCATAGTAAAACGATTCCAGTGCATGATGAATAAACGAGCTTACTTTTGACACTTTATTAGTTGGACATGGACTATTGAATGTGAAATTTGTACCCTCAACACAAAACATTCCATTGCCACAATGACATTGATAACAGTTGCTCAATTTTCAAAGCAATCCTCCATGTCTAGACAGCCCTAGATGTCTCGAACCAAGATCTAAGCAGCCTCCAATAACGACCACTAAATTCAGCATGAATGGAGCTTGCCGAAGCGATAGGATTAACCTTGGCACTGTAGGCGGTCGGGGCGGCCCTGTCCAGCGGCAGGACCGAGCACGAGACGGTCAGGCCGCTTCGGCGCACTTGGGGGAGGCAAGCACACGCCCTTCTCCGGCGCCCAGGGGTGCAGCCTGGACACTGGCGCGGATTGAATCGTCAGGGGGGCGTCCTCATTGTGAGGGGAATTGGACGACAGAAAGGAGAGGTCCGTACCGGAGTAGATGAGCGGGACGAGGAGGAAGAGGAGCAGCGGGCCTCGACGTACGGCGCGGATCCGAGGCCTCGGGGCCGCCATATAGGGGCGAAGAGGCGGCAGCGGAGCCCCGGTCCCGTCGGGGGATGAAATCGCGTCGGCTTCGCCGACGGCGGTGGCCGGTGGGCAAATGATAAGCGTATGCAGATATACGTCAACACGTCGTCAGGTTCCGCAGAATATAAGTCAATCAAGATTCAAACCGTCCAACGTTTTTAACTGCTCCCTCTATAAAAAAAAAGTAATTCTATGTTTCAAATCTGGTCTAAAAAAGAATGTAAATATAGACTTAGAAATCAACTTTTCCAATAAGACTCATCTATTAAAAATATCGCTACATGTCTAAAAACTATCATATTCTATTCATCGATGAGAAAAACATTTCGGAATGTAACCATTGTTTTTTGAATGTAACCATTGTTTTTTAGTTTATAGAATGATAGAGCAGGGGTAAATGCGTAATTTGACACCTACACTAATCTTATCTTAAAAGTGAGATTTATATTTTTTCTAGAGACGGAGGGAGTATTTTGTTTCGTTGCAAAGTATAAACATGCTGAATGAAATGTCACTTTTTTTCACTATAGTTTTGCATACCTATAGAGTCTTTTGTTCTAAAACCTTAGAAACCATTTTAATTTGGAAAAAGTCTACTTAACCCCCACCTTTCATACATGGTCTACTTCACCCCTCAACAATGAAACCGTCTGTTTTACCCCCTGAACTTTCTAAAACCATCTATTTTACCCTCTCCGGGTGGTTTTTGACAGCGGTTTTGCTACAGTAAAAAATTGGGTTTCCAATTAATCTAAGGCTACAAAAAAAATTTGTACTAAAGCATACCGTATTATATATTCACTGTGTAGATCTACTCATGTGGAGTCCAAAAAATTAGATTTTTCATTTTATGATTTTTCTATGATTTACTATGTTTTACTGTAGCTGTTACTACAGCAACCCGCTGTCAAAAACCGTCCAGGGGGTAAAATAGACGGTTTTGGAAAGTTCAGGGGATAAAACAGACGGTTTCATAGTTGGGGGTGAAGTAGATCATGTACGAAAGGTGAAAAGTTAAGTAGACTTTTTCCTTTATCAGGGTCAGCGAGCAAAAGCAATTAGCGATCCAGATCTATCCAAATTAATAAATGCTTGCTAGTAAAATCAGATCTGAGCAACGTCGATCGATGCCAAACAGCAATGCATGCAACTTTGTTCAGAGAAGAATTCCATTCATTCCGTGCATTGCTGTTTGCATGAAAGATTGGAACACGCATATATGCTGCTGTTGCCTGTCATCTCCAAACTAGTATGCAGGATGTCAGTTGCAGCACCAGTGCAGGCACAGAGTATGATCAGTGACGATAGATATCACGGAACTGCTAGGATGTCAGTTGCAGCACCAGTGCAGGCACAGCCAGCCATGGGTGTGGCCGCCGGAGGCGCTGCTCGCCGGGCACGGCAGCCAGGGGCGTGGCCGCCGGGGTCGCAGTTCGCCAGGGCGCGGCGCCGGGGGTCGCAGTTCGCCAGGGCGCAGCTCGCCGGAGCGCGGCTAGGCATGGGCGTGGCCGCCGGAGGCGCGGCTCGCCGAAGCATCGCCAGCCAGGGGCGCGGCCGCCGGGGTCGCAGTTCGCGCGGCCTCAGGGACGACGGCGGCTGCGGCTGCGGCTGCGACCTGCTGCTGGTCCTGCGACGCGCGAGACGATGACGAACGCGGCCAACTCCACGGCGCAGAGCCCGGCGAGCCTGGCTGGACCGCCACCCCACGCGCGGCGTCGCGTACGTGAGCTTCGGCACGGTGGCGTCCCCGCGGCCCGACGAGCTCCGCGAGCTGGCGGCCGGGCTGGAGGCCTCGGGCGCGCCGTTCCTGTGGTCGCTGCTCCCGTCGGGCTTCCTGGACCGCGCCACCAGCACCGGGTCCGGGCTCGTGGTGCCCTAGGTGCGCCACGGCGAGCGCTGGGGTCTATTTTTTTTTTTGCTATAGCTGTGGGCGCTGGGTCTATTTTTTATGAGAAAAATAGATGTGAGGGGTTAAATGAAAATTATATGTCATACTAGCATGTCACGTCAGCAAAAAAATGTCCACGTGGCTAGTATGGGCCTGCGGTGCACCACTTAACAAGTTTAGTGACTCAGAAATGCATTTTTCAAGTTCATGAATGTATGTAACACACGCCTACAAATTCAAGGGCCGCTGGTGCGTTTAACTCAAAGACAAATCTTAGGTCCAACGCTTGCTCGTTCAAAAAAAAAGTACATAAATTCAGAATCAAGATGGGTTTGATTGCAAAATAATGCAATCGTGCAAATGATGGGCACATTGCAAGCCCCGCGGCGCAAAATGGTACGGCACGTCAGCACCGAATCCTCCCGGTCCCGGCACCGCAACCGCTGTTCCTCCCCGCGGCACGCGCGCGCGCCACAGCCGATCTGCCGCGGCAGGATTCCTCGGCCACCGCGACCATTCGGCATCTCCCCAATCCCGGCACGGGACCCCTCCCTCTCTCTCCCGCCTGCGGCGGATGGCCTCCTCCTCCTCCTCACCGTTGCCCGCCCTGGCCGGGGAGGCGCTACGCCAGAAACGCATCCTCTCCAGCAAGCTCTACCTCGAGGTCCCCTCCTCCAAGGTCGGTCGCGGATATCGTCCCATCTCCAGCTTCCAAGATACGCGCGAGGTGCCCGTGTTTCAATCTCAATGTTTTCTTGCAGGCGCCGGTGGTGTACTCGCCGGCATACGACATCTCCTTCCTCGGGCTTGAGAAGCTGTGAGCTGCCTTCCCGCCTGCCCACCACCTATGCAGAAACACGCATCGGCGTTCAAATGTGTTTGACACTGCGTGCGTGCAACCCCTTGTGCAGGCACCCGTTTGATTCCGCCAAATGGGGCCGCATCTGTAGGTACCTCACCAGGGAAGGGTACCTGGACAAGAAACGGATGGTGGAGCCATTGGAAGCCTGCAAGGAGGACTTGCTAGTGGTAAATTAATTAATAATTAGGAAGCTGTTTTTCGCCTGGTTCAGACTTCATAGTGTATTCGTCCTGATGAATCCCTTGCATGTCTTGCTTAACCAGGTGCACACAGAGGCGTATCTGAACAGTCTCAAAAGCAGCTTCAGAGTTTCCTCCATTGTAGAGGTAGTGACTTTTCAGAAGAAGTGAGGTTGGCCTGATTGGTGGTGAATTATGTATTGTGGTTGACAGATGTTTGATATCTTATTAGGTCCCTCCTGTGTCGCTTGTCCCTAATTGGATTGTGCACAAAAAGCTATTATACCCCTTCCGGAAGCAGGTAATGTATTGTGAATATGTGCTTGCTTTTGGATTATTTGTAAACCCGTATGCATAATTTGATTATCAGGGAGGGATGATAAACTTTCTTTTCACAGGTGGGTGGGTCCATTTTATCAGCCAAACTTGCGATTGAGAGAGGATGGGCCATTAATGTTGGTGGAGGATTTCACCATTGTTCGGCAGATGAAGGGGGTGGATTTTGTGCATACGCTGACATCTCTCTGTGCATCCAGTTTGCTTTTGTCCGTCTAAATATCTCAAGGTAAAAACCCTTTATAGGTAGAATTTTATCTATAACAACTAAGTTTTACTTAGTTATATGCTTGACTGTGTTAGTCTCTTATTTATATGCTTGGTTGACTGCACGTTCTGCATATGCTCCTTCCAGTGACCAAACAGTGACATTTTGGGTTACTTGCAGTCAAGTTATTGAATTTTGATCATCAATTAATTCATGCTATTGATATGAACAGCTAGAAATGGTATGAGTAGTTTGTCTCAGAAGTACAGCCATACAGTTGTGGTATGGTTTGCCAATGTATTATAATAGAAATTGCTAGTCAAAGTTCTGTTTTGGGAACCATGTCAATGTCTAAAAATGTCACTCTTTTGTTACTGGAGCGAGTGTAAGGAAGCATGTTGTTGTGGAGGGATGCATTCATTGTTCGCATGCATCATTGTTGTAGGAAGAAGGTGATTTGTCGTACTATGAAGATCATCAGAAATTTTTTTTGAGCATAATCATCAGCAAATTTTGTTTGAGTCTAAAAAGTTTGGTTTGGTGGGCAAGATAGATGGGTTTGTTAGTAAAGACTTCTAGCTTGTTAGGCAAGTTGATTTGGGCTTTGGTGCTATATAAACTGAAGAGATGTAGTGAAACGGCAAGCAAGGAGTCGGATTAGGGAGGAGCGATAGCAGGGGATAAACCAACTCGCCCCCAACTTGAGGCTCTGAGTTATTTAGGTCTATTCCGTGCTTTTCTTTGCAATTACATCTCTTCTGTTTATATAGCACCAATCCCCAATCAATTTGCCTAACAAGCTAGGACTCTTACTTTCCTAACAAACCCATGTATCTTGCCTAACAAACCAAACTTATCTGGACTCAAACCAAATCTGCTGATGATTTGGTTTCAGACTGGTAGCTACCTGCAAAGCTACTGCTGCTCTGTGGCAATGCTGACTGCCTAGAAGCTCCGCCGCCTTATCTAGTTTCTGGAGATCCATTAGTTTCATGTAACTAAGATGCATTGCTCTCCTGCCTCGCTTATCCTTTGTAACTGTGGCACCATGCCAAAACCCCAGGGCTTATCCTTCCACCCACCAGGTGTTCCTGGAATCTGTGGTAATCAAATCAGGTGGGGACAAATCGTCCCCCCCCCCCCCGCACTTAAAAAAAAAAAAAAAAAATCTGCTGATGATCTTCACGGTGTAACTGAATCCTGCGCCTTCTTCTTACACACTGATACGTGCGACCGATGAATGCATCCACAACGCATTTTCTGTGATGTTAATCCATCCTCCTTCCAAGAACAGTGCAAGGCTTGTAGGCATCCTCTCAGGCAGTTGGTCAATATATATTTTCATTGCTGGCAGTCCTATGCAAGGGTGTAACTTAGCTATACAAAACAAATTGACTTTCCCTTTCAAACATTTGCAGTGTATTGATCTTAGACCTGGATGCCCACCAAGGAAATGGACACGAAAAAGATTTTGCTAATGATGGTACGTATTTAAATTTTCTTTGGATTTTGGTTCTTTATATTTGTCAATTTGATACAAGTTTATCACTCACAGGAAGGGTTTACATTTTAGACATGTACAATGCTGGAATTTATCCCTTTGTAAGAGTCTACATCTTCATCACCCTCACTCCTTAGATATCTGTAGTATATGAAGCTATTTTCTTTTGTTATTTGTTGTGCTCTTATATATTGTCATATGAAATACATATTGATGGAGAGATTACTTATGTGGAACTTTCTTATCTCACTTCTTGAACACAAGTTTTATTGTTAAACCCTAAATGTACAATCATCTTTTTGAACAAGCTTTATATACCATTTAGATGATGTAATTGTTCACAGATCGAAATTGAAAACAGCAGTTATTTTCTTGAATGACGCAGGAGAGATGCGTGTCATTTCATTAAGAAGAAAAAAAAGCAGTACAATGAGAGATCAAAAGACCTCTCCAAGAGAAAACAGTAGTTTCAGTCCAGCTGATACTGCAATGAATTCTGACGGTCTCACACAATCAGTTTCGCAGCAGTCCACGTTAATATGATGTAGACACCAAAATAAAGGACACGTTTTGTATTTATCATTCCATTTTCTTCAACACCGGATATATTCCTGATTCTTGTTTCTTTGTAAACATACATTCGTCTGTTTCAGGATTTCACTGCTAAGCAGTACATTGATCAAAAAGTTGAATTAGTTGTAAGTTTCATCTTGTAACCTTTTAGTTATGCATTCTCTCCTTCTCTGCACGTACTTTATTTTTTTAGTTGAAATTCTTGTTATGTGATTGTGCAATATAGAGTGGGACAAAAACAGATGAATACTTGGAGCAACTTGACAAGGCTCTCGAGGTACATTTACATACCTGCAAAATTGGCTGGAACAAGAAATATTTACACTGGGTGCTAGGTTAATGTTTTGAAATGTCATCTTTTGCATGATATGTATCCAAAATTTTGACTAGTCAGTATAATGTGACTTTTAATGTATCATTTTAACTTATGATTTCAAGTGCATCTATCAATGATTCAGTATCCTCTTTGTATATATAAATCCAAATGAGCATGAGGTTTGAAACGGTCAAAGTCTGGTTCTACATGACTAAATCCTATTAAATTACCTTATAAGGAAATGGGTAAATGCCAATTCATTGGTGCTGTTTATTTGCTTGTTTTAAGTTTTAACAAACTTGTTATTCACAGTTCCTCTTGGAACATATTATTGCAGGTCTGCAGTAGTAGATTTCAGCCCCAATTGATTGTTTACAATGCTGGAACAGACATCCTGGATGGTGATCCATTGGGCAGATTGAAGGTACTTCTCCTGAATTCTATCTTCAGAAGACCTAAGCATCCTCCAATGCAATGCTGCTAGATGCAGAGATCATGTTCACGATGTCATTAGTTACTAAAATAAGCTGGACACTGCACTAGTTATGCCTGACCACCAACGTTTTGTCATTCTTACATGCACAAATATCTAAAACACTGCAACACGCATAAATTTAGTTTTGCCTCTTCACCCTGCATACAACTTTATGATGATGCAGAATTTGATAAGTTTTCCCCCATGTTCCAGGTAAGTCCTGAGGGTGTGGTTACCAGAGACGAGAAGGTATTTAGGCTCGCAAAAGATCAAAACATTCCTCTGCTCATGCTGACATCAGGTGAAATACTTCTCACTCAAGTTTGTGGTCCGTTCCTCTAGTCATATGGATCTGCTAACGCTGTATTTCTGTGCACTATGCCCATCTATGCTGCGCAATCAGGAGGCTACATGAAGTCAAGTGCTCGAGTAATAGCCGATTCGATCATCAATCTGTCCAATAAAAACTTGATAGTATTAGACAGCCAGCTGGGTTGAGCAAGAACTTGTAATATCTCATGGATGTGTATATGTCCTGTGAATAAAGGTGTTTGGTACTTCTTTTTTATGATGGATAACATGTATGCCACAAAAATGGTCTGTACATAACACGGAGTCCTTGTGAATCTATACAACGTCAATTGTTCAGTACGCGTAAAGTGCTCCAGATACTAAAACTGCATTGGCAGCATTTCACGTGCTGCGGAGGATTCGGCACCTCCATGACGTCTGTTTTTTATAACACCATGTGGCAGCCATCCATGTGGAGACAAGGAACTCGCCAGCATTAGGGTTTTGGGTTTTAGGGGGCTCCATCTCTGGTGGCTATAGAAGGTTTTTTTTTTTTTTTTTGGGGGGGGGTGTTGTGACACGGCCGGTGGAGGCAGGCGAGAGGCACGGCAGGGCAGGCGAGAGACGGCGGTTGGGAGGGGCTGGTGGTGGGGGCGTCGCGACGGAGCTCACCAGTGGCTGCCTTGTGATTAGGGGAGGCGGGGCGGGAGGTGGGTGGTGCGGTGAGGCGGCGGGGGGGTGGCGGAGCTCACTTGGCGGCTGTCATGTGATTAGTGGAGGACGGGGTCGAGGGTGTGAGGCGGTTGGTGCGGTGAGGCGGCGGGAGCGGCTGGCCGACGGTGGATGCACGAGGGAGGGGGCGGCGGAGCAAGGGTGCCATCGGGGGGAGAGGGCGGTGGAGCAGAAGTGTGGACGGCGGCCGCACGAGGAGGAAGACAGGTCGCTGTTGCACGATAACGCTGTCCCTCTTTGTTCGGATGTTTGGTTTGCATGTGTGCGGTGCGGTGACAGAGAGCGGACTTCATCGATGGCTCATCCACAGCAGCAAAGGCATTCCCTCTGAATCCCTTTTTTCAATGTCATTTCATTTCGCATCAGGAGGTCCGTAGCGTTCATTGTCCGTTGCATGTGTTGGAGGTCCGCGATAGCCACGATGAACGCTGCCGCGGGGGCCATAGCAAGGCAACACCAAGATCTGAAAAGCATGGCTGCCTTCACTTCCCCCAGCACCCGTGAAGAGGTGGATATGACTACCGCCGTAGGCGCCTGTGGTGCCAATTCGGCCAGGCTGCAGTGGGTGCAGGGGAAGGCTAGTGATGGCTGCGTGCACATGTTGTTCATCGCTTGATCCGACGACCAATGATGGCACTCTAGGCTTATTGGTCGACCTAGGCCAACCCGATGACGTCCTCACTCTGATGGGTCCCCTCTCGGGCGAGCGCTTCGACGGTTCCTATGCTAGTTTGCCCGGAAACTATCCGTTCTTCATCACGTAAGCACGATTAGTTATCATTTGGTGGTTTGCTCGTAAACCTCGACGTTCTTCATCGTGAAAGAGTGTTGGTTATCCGTGACAATCTAGTTTTAACTAGTGTGTGACCAACCTTTGAGTCAACAACCACTCATTACTAGAACTCTACTTGCATGTCTCAAAATGAATGTCATTCTAATTTTTTTAGGGCCGGGACCTATAAATTCCAAGTTTGGTCATTCTGATTTTTCTATAAATCTAGTTAAATTAAGAAAATTTGACTCAGTTATATGCGTTGTGAAACTTGTGTGGCGATGGATACCACGTAGGAGCATGCATTATATTTGACAGCCTTATGCCCTTAGTACTGTTGCTGTACAGGCCACATGAGCACAGCAGAAAGACGTATGTGTGTTGTGCGAAGGTTAATTTGGAGCTGATAAGTGATAAGGAGCGGATTATCTCCCAAATACCAGTCCCTTTCTGCAGTAATAGCGGATGTTGATTGTTACCCCGACAATTGCTGTCTGCAGTTATTGCTTCTGTCTTCTGACGTCTTCTTTAACCTTTATAATGCAGTACTGTCTGCTTGGAATGAACTGTGAAGCGAGAGTGAATGCCGGCAAGAGGAGGGGAAAATGGACAACAGCGATCGCAGCGTCATGGTCGTCGCCAGTCACGGAGCAGGTGGACGGCTTCATCGGTGCTGACTGGTTGGACACGGACATCTCTGGATCACACATGCTGCAGGTAACTCGATCTTAATCTTCGTCGAAGACACCTGGTTAGTGCCTGGAACTGCTGCACAAGAGGGAGCAGGGCGCGCGACACCTAGCTCCATTGTGGTATTGAACACCACGGTCGTCGAAGCTGACCGTCACTTTCTCGTCTCGCGTATTTTGGGGTTTTTACAGTCTTGGCTTCTTGGTTTTCCTGTGAAAGTAACTAGGGAAGACTTCCACGAAGAATCTGGATGTCCATGTCCAATTGTCCATGCAAGTGGCAGCTTCCAGTCTTCCACTACGAGCTCGTTTCCTAGCATGTGTCACGAGCAAAGATATGTGGATTGCGCGGAGGACGACCGCCCGGGACTTCAGATTCGTGTCTGGGAGAGTGCAACCAAACAGTGAAATGTGAATCTCGGGTTCATAGCCAAGATTTTTGGGGAAAAACGAGAAATGTAGTTGTTTTTTTCTAATGGATTCATTAATACGACTTCTATATCCACGAAGGACATACACAGCCAAAAGAAAATAAAAGTACATAGACTATCCACGAAGGACATACACAGCCAAAAGAAAATAAAAGTACATAGACTCACACCTCCACAAAGAGAACACACGACAAAAAAGAAGAAGAAAAACTACGAACTCGGCACATCCCTGTTTTCCAACATCAGATTCGACGAGTAGAAGTCGTCAAGTTGCCGCCGCCTTTAGTGCGCCATCGCTGTGAATCTCCGCTAGTGCCTTCTTCATATGCTTCAAGTGAGGTGACACCACCTATCGTCGGTTAGCCCACCTTCATCCGTCGTCGTTCAGTCAGAACTAACCGATCAGACGCAAACCAACAGAATCCGCTTCCGCTTCGCCAGATTCCAAGGCTTCCGCCGCCCATAGGACAGCCTCCGTCATTGGGATCGTGGTCGTCGCCTCTACCGGAGTCCTCTGTCGCCGCCGCTGAGGATATCCTCTTCCGCTTGGACTCTCAGGGCTCCGCTGCCCCTAGGGCCACCGCTGCCGACGGATCCACCTCCACCTGGTCTGCCTCCTCCTCGCTAAGATCTACACCGATGCTCAGGCCGGTCTCACCAGATTCGACCTCACAACCACTAGATTCGGTGAAGGGCACACCAGATCCACTATGGGGCGCCGTAAGACACCACGTAGCCGTCGCACGGCCCAGGGATGCAAATCCAGCCACAGCAAGCCAGATCCGGCCATGAGATCTCTGGATCGGGATCCCAAAGGTGTCGCCAAAAGGTCATTGGTGTTGAGCCCACTGGTATGGGCGGCGTGAACGCAGGGGTGGCCTAAGCGCGACATCCATGCCACACACGACGGTGTCGATCGTGGGGATAGCCCATGCCGAGGCAGGAAGCTCAACCTCAGCGGCAGCCGTGCGGTCGACTAGGACGGGGTCCCTGGCCTTGGCGGCGGCGTTGAGCGCGCGACATCGAACTAGAGTTCACACCTGACGGCACGGGCGAAGAGGCCCGACTCCACACCTCTATCAGCAGCTCCGTGAGGTCCGCTGCTAGCCATGGCCACAGCATGGCCAACAGCCACGCACGCAGGGCATCCGTGAGAACCATCGAGATGCGAGGCAGCCAAAATTGACTGATTTCAAGCTTGTTGGCCGAGTGCATGAATTCAATTGGCTTAATAGACCGAGTGAGAATCGTTTTAGACTAATCTAGCAAAATCGCTTCATAAATGTCACATGGATGCAAGTAGGAGAGGGGATGGGTGACACATTTTGGAGAGAGCTCGACCCACCGCCGCCATGGCTGTGCCCTCCGTGGCTGACCATGAGGCCCCGCGCTGGGTCCGCTCGTCAGCTGAGGGTCGTGGCGTCCCCCAGCAGTCAGCTGGTTGGTAGCTTCTCACAAGCTTTATGGAGAGGGTCCAACTGGTAAAGGGACTAGCGAGGGCAAAGTGATCGTCGAGTTTTTTGGCCAACTTTGGGCCACTGACTCGCCTCCCCCACCTAGGGTTCGTCCCGAACCTGCTCAAAACCTGCTGGCCGACTCTTCTGGATCCACAAGGATCCGGTAGAGTCCAAGTTGTTCTCACCGGAAGATTGCTTTCTTGTCTGGAGATCAGATCGTCTCGACAAGGCATCGGGGAAGAAGGGAACTACACTAAAGTGCTTTGAGGAGCTATGGCGGGTGGTGGAAGATGGGTGTGGCAACCAGATCACCCTCAGCAGAGACCCTAACATCTGCCTCTCTGCCTTCAAATCAGAGGTATCTTGTTGGCGGTCCTTAACACCTATTTCCAATTGTCAACACTCACATAAAATCCACTCAAATGAACACCAAACTTAGTGATAGGGTTTATAACTAATGAATTCCACAAGTTTTGGTGTTTATCCATTTGCAGGAGGGCATTTGTGGAAATACACATAAAGGGGCTAAAAATGTGCAAGAGAACAAAGCACAAATACCATTCTACACAAGCCTAAAGGAGGAGGCCCACAACCAGGCAAAATAGGGCCCAAACGTGAGGAGAACAAGGATAAACCCAAATTAAATCACCTCATCTTCACGCAAAACCCACATAGGCCCACTCAAGAGGTCCAAAGGAATCGACCCACCAAAGATGAGCCAGTTTTGGCTCAACTAGGCCCAAATCGCCCCATTTTTGGCAGGCTACCTCTTACCGCCTTCCCATGGTCGGTTCAAGTGGTTAGGCGGTAAATTAATTACGCAAGATGGCGGTTTGCTCTTTCCATAAGAGAATGGGGAATATTCCAAGGAACCCCCTCTCTCCACCTATAAAAGGAGGCTCCCTCCTTCTCATTTAACAACAGCTCAAGGCAAAGAGCACTCCACATTTGAGCAACACTTCAAGGGCTTAGGCCCTAGATAGCTAGCTAGAGTTGTAAGGGAGAGATGTGAGGGAGAGCTCGGGGAAGAGCCGGATTTGTCGGTGTCCTCCCATCCTGTACCTCAACGAACACCTGCGCTATACATCGTCGGGTACTCCCACTAAGTGAGTGTTTGTGGTTCTTTTGGTTATAAAGTCTTTGATTAGTTAAATTTTACTCCTACTTGTTTGCGGGTTCATTGTCCGTCCCCGTAGCGAATACTCTAGTAGAGGGCTCCCGATAAAGATGGATCACCCTGTACGACGCTATAGTAGTCGATAGCATATGCCCTGTTCACTTGGCTTATAAGCCGTACTTTTTCAGCCAACGATCAGTATTTTTCTCTCACAATAAATCAGCCAACAGTACTTTCAGCCATGGCTTATCAGCCAAACGAACAGGGCAGTAGGCGTGATGTCTAGGCTAGAGTCTACCTTCATTTGCCTCATGCTCCACGGTTGAGGGGTAGGCGACAGGTGGTGACAGCCATGTCCATCCCTTGTAATCCCCCACGTTATGGCACGACGTAGAGCTGCAAGCCGATATCTCTTGGCATACCAGGCGTAAGCCAATGCCTGAAGTGAGCAAGTAGAAGTAGAGTTTATCTATCCTTAGACCGTAAAATCATAGGAATCCATTTCACCATTTACCTACTCTACCCTTGTGTTGTCCGTGGACAAACTAGCTAGAAGAATACCTCCGTTCCCTGTGAAAAATACGATACCCTGAATACTTCCGGGTGAAGTGCTACAACGGTACTTTCGTGTGCTTGCAGATTATTTTTGTTTACGTTAAAAAATACCAATAAGCATTTCTGGTGCCGTTGCTGGGAAACGATTGTAGTATTTCCTTTGAACCTAGCACTACAAGTTTTTTACCCTAATCCAACCACTTGTATTCGCAACGCCATAAATTTAGTTGCAATAGGAGGCTCTATTGCAACATGGACTATAATTGGTTGAGATATGTGACACTTATTGCATCTAAATTATTGGGTTGTGTTAATCCTAACCTTCATCGCGATAGGTGGGTGTTATGGCCACGATTAAATTATGGTTGCAAGTGCATGTAAATATTATAACTAATTAAGCTACATTGTGTTAATAATAAATTTTGGTTGCGATAACACGTCATTGTTGCCACCATTCGAATAGTGGTTGCGAGTAGTTTTCAATATCGCCACAAAATAACTATGTTGCCTTAATATTGGCCTACGTCATAAAAAGTTATGATATATTGCATCGGAAAAATGGTTCGTTTCATGGTATAATGTTCTATTGCTACTCATAACATATGTTGCAATAGTGTAGTACATTTAACTACAAATTAAAAGTCATATTGCCACGCAAATTTGTTGGTTGCCCAAACTACTCCGACACATGGCTCACTAGGATGGATCCTATTGGCTCATTGGCTGATTGGGGATTTTAGATTGGACTGGAGAGAAGCAGCGGACTAGCGGATAGACCCATGCCTGGCAACCACCGATGACGCCGACGCCAAATTTTGTCTTGTATTCTTCCCTATGTCTTGTATCGTCTCTCTACCAAGGGCGATCCTCGACTTTGAGTAGCGTGAGAAGGAGTCTATAGGTGTAGCCTGGGCTAGGTTTTCAAAGTTAATACACGCTAGCCCAGACTTGTCTTTACCCACCAGCATTTTGCTGTGACTCTTTTGTTTGGGTATTGACATGGATACTAACCTATGCTTAGACGTGACTGCCAGAGGTCGTTTTACACATAAAACTATGACGGAACAAGTAGAATTTCTTGAGCACTTCATAGACAAACACTCTTCTTCCGTCATAAGAACTAAATCCCTCTAGGTAAAAGTTACATCGAGTGTTGAGGAGTCCTCACCAGTCGAATCCAAACCTTTAGCATCCTTAGATTCGACTTATGAACCCTCACCCGAACCACAAACACCGAAGAAAAGAGTAATTCATCCTTCGGAGTTTCCTATCAAATTCGAGGATTATGGCAATACCTCAAAGTTATCATGGCATGAAAAGAGCATAATTGAAGTTCCCCTACGGTAGAACCATCAAAGGAATGGTTAATGGAAGTGAAACGTTCTTCCGAAGCAATTTAGATTCTTTCAGCTTTCACAGCCATGCCTTGTTCGTTAAGGGGAACTGTTGTAGAAGCCCTGCACCACCCCACAGTCGGGACTAGCATCATGTAAGAATTCCTTACGAAAAGTCTTTTGGGCAACATGCCGCTAGTCCCAACCAACAAACTCTTCAAAAGTAATTCGGGACTCATCTTCAAGTGTTCTTGGATTGCCATGGCCGTGCAAATCAAAATAGATGAAAACAAGGTTCACATAGATTTCCACATCTTTGCCATTCTTGAATTTGAGCTTCTCATAGGCCACCCCTTGGAAAATATTTTTCAAGAAAAACCCTTATAAGGGAGCCTAAATGAAAAGTTGGGGGAAATTGCTTCTGCCACTCCTATCTTTCTCCCAGAAGTTCCAATGGCGAAGCAGCACAACTGTTCGAGGAGGTGAAGTTTATATCCCTGTTCGTTTCACCTAA